ATAAGGTACACGATTTATAAATTTCAAGTATTTTGATCATTATTTTGTAGTTGTTTTCGTTATTTCGTGATTTGTTGTCGATTAGTCATAACAATCGAAGACGAAATTTTGTTTCTACATATAAGAAACAAAATGGATCAATCGACGATTCTGAAATCCCACGTTGAAAAGCCCGAGAAATTCAAGGGTTCAGATTTTCGATGATGGCAACATAAAATGCTCTTCTATCTCACTACGTTACGTGTGTCTAACGTGCTTTCGGAGCAAGCACCGACGACACCCGTTACCGGTGAAGGCCAAACGACACCGACCCAAACCCAAATGTCAGCCTTTGAAAGGGTGGTCGAGACTTGGAATAGCAATGAATATAGTTGTCGAAACTATATTCTTGATGCTTTGGATGACTCCCTATATGATATATACTCTACTTTTAACTCGGCAAGAGAAATATGGGAGTCATTGGAAACCAAGTACAAGACCGAAGTGGCATGTTCTAAAAGATTTGTGGTCGGGAAGTTCCTGAACTTCAAGATGAGCGATGCAAAATCTGTTGTGAAACAAGTGGAAGAACTACAAGTCCTTGTTCATGAACTCGACACCGAAGGTATGGGCATCAATCTGAACTTTCTTGTTGGTTCGATAATTGAAAATTTGCCTCCTTCATGGAGAGATTTCAAACTATATTTGAAACATCTAACCGAGGACATGTCTTTTGATCAATTGGTTCTCAAACTACGAGTTGAGGAAGACAATAGGAAGAGTGAGAAGACGGACGGAAGTTCAATAGACCCAAACGCAAATTTCGTTGTAGGAAACACTTCAAAACCAAAATTTCAGAAGTTCAAGGGAAAAGGTATCGCTAAACCTTCTCCCTCAAACATGAAAAGCCCTCTCCAAGCCCACAAAAAGCCATTCAAAAGGCAAATGACTACTTGTTAGGTGTGTGGTCATCCTGGGCACAAAGCACGGGATTGTTGTCTCAAGAGGGATCATCATGGAAGCGGAGGAGTCGGAAGCTCAAACCAAACCAACATGGCAGATTCTGAAACAAGGTTTGTAGGTGTCGTTGAAGCGAACTTCGTGACAAACAAAGTGGATTGGTGGCTTGACACCGGTGCCACTAGGCACATATGCAACTCCAAGGATTTATTCTCTTCCTATGTCAAAGTCAACGATGGTGAACCAATGTTTATGGGGAACTCAACAACCGCAAAAGTGCAAGGAAAAGGGAAAGTGATATTAAAGCTAACATCAGGGAAAGAGCTTGAACTCACCAATGTGCTACATGTGCCGGATATGAGCAAGAATCTGATCTTGGGTCCTATGTTGAGCAACAAAGGATTTAAAATTATATTCGAGTCGGATAAATTTGTAGTCACTAAGGGTGGGGTGTGTGTGTGGGTAAGGGCTACCTATCTGAGGGGCTCTTTAAGTTTTCCATTGTAAATATCACAAACAATGATGTAAATATGAATAAAATCGCAAGCTCTAGCGCTGCTTCTACTTATATGGTTGACTTCCCAAATTTGTGGCATGTTCGGTTAGGTCATGTCAATTTCCGATCCTTACAAAGGATGATGAATCTTGGCATGATACCTAAGTGTTCAATAAACAAAATGACTAAGTGTGAGACTTGTGTAGAATCAAAATACTCAAGTCATCCCCACAAATCTGTCGAAAAAACTAACCAAGTGCTTGGTCTAATACATACCGATTTGTGTGATTTTAAGTCAACTCCAACTCGAGGGGGGAAAGAACTACTATATCTCATTTATTGATGATTGCAGTAAGTTATGTTATATTTATTTGATAAATACCAAAGACGAGGCTTTAAACATGTTTAAAATCTATAAAGCCGAAGTTGAAAATCAACTTGAAAAGAGGATCAAAATTCTAAGGTCTGACCGAGGAGGAGCGTATGAATCTCATGACTTTGATGAATTTTGTTCCTTACATGGTATTGTACATCAAACGACGACTCCTTATACCCCTCAACAAAATGGGGTAGCCGAGCGGAAAAACAGAACTTTGAAGAATATGATCAACTCAATGTTGATCACTTCTGGGGCTCCTCATAATCTATGGGTTGAAGCCTGTTTGACTACAAACATGATCTTAAATAAGATTCCGCATAAGAAAAGTAGTCAATCTCCCTATGAACTATGGAAAGGCAAATTGCCTTCTTACGAAAGGATGAAAGTGTGGGGTTGCTTAGCCAAAGTACAAATACCACTACCTAAAAGGACCAAATTAGGACCAAAGACTGTGGATTGCATTTATCTTGGTCTCGCTAAGAACAATGCAGCTTACAGATTCTTGGTATATAGGTCCCAAGTAGAGGATATTCACACAAATACCATAATTGAATCTGCGGAAGCAGAATTCTTTGAAGACATATTCCCATATAAGGATAAGGAGAAGAGAATCTCCAATCTAAGGAAAAGAAGGAATGAAGACGATGAACCTCACAATGAGTTAGACCAAAGTACTATTCAAAGAGATGAAGGTACCTCTCAAGTTCAACATGATGGAGAACCTCTGAGAAGTAAACGTGGAAAAGTGGCAAAAGACTTTGGACCAGCCTATGTGACCTTTAATATAGAAGGAGAACCTCTAAATTATAAGGCAGCTATGGATTCTTCTGAAGCTCCTTATTGGAAAGAGGCAATCCAAAGCGAAATAGAATCCATTTTACAAAATAACACTTGGAAATTGGTAGATCTCCCTCCGGGACATAAACCAATTGGCCATAAATGGATTTTTAAGAGAAAGCTTAGACCTGACGGTACTATAGAAAAGTACAAGGCTCGTTTAGTAGCCAAAGGGTATCGTCAAAGAGAAGGTCAATATTTCTTTGACACCTATTCGCCGGTGACTAGAATCACTTCCATTAGGACTTTGATTGCAATAGCAGCGATTCACAATTTGGAAATTCACCAAATGGATGTGAAAACCGCTTTCCTGAATGGCAAATTAGAGGAAGAAATCTATATGCAACAACCCGAAGGGTTTGTTGTTAAAGGTCAAGAACATAAAGTCTGTAAACTGGTTAAGTCCCTATACGGACTTAAACAAGCTCCAAAGTAATGGCACGAGAAGTTTGATAATACACTATTATCACAAGGTTTCTATATCAATGAATGTGATAAATGTGTATATGTTAAACAGTTTAAGAATGCTTATGTCATAATATGTCTATATGTGGATGATATGCTAATAATGGGGACTAATATGGATGTAATTAATCAAACCAAGAAAATGTTTCATTCTTCATTTGATATGAAGGATTTAGGACAAGTTGATTTTATTCTTGGTATCAAAGTTCAAAGAACTTCGGAAGGATACATCCTTACCCAATCTCATTATATAGAAATAGTCCTAAAGAAGTTTGGACACTTTGATGATAAACCGGTCATTACTCCCTTTGATCCTTCAAGTCAACTTAAGAAGAATCAAGGAGATAGTGTTTCACAATTAGAGTACACTCAAGTTCTTGGGAGCCTAATGTATATCATGAATTGTACACGACCGGATTTAGCATATACTGTGAGTAGATTGAGTCGTTACTCACATAATCCTGGTAAAGATCACTGGTATGCACTAGTTCGAGTGCTCCGATATCTTAAACATACAATATGTTATGGTTTGCATTACACTAAGTATCCCCCCGTGCTAGAAGGATACTGTGATGCCAATTGGATTTCGAATCACTCAGAAGGTAAATCCACAAGTGGCTACGTGTTTACCCTTGGTGGTGCTTCAATATCTTGGAAATCATATAAATAAATGGTGAATACACGTTCCATGATGGAAGCTGAGTTTGTCGCGTTGGACAAAGCGGCTAAAGAAGCCGAATGGCTCAAAAGCTTTCTAAAAGGTATTCCGTTATGGCCTAAGCTTGTGACAGACATTAGTATACACTGTGATAGTATGGCTGCTCTGACTAGAGCAAAGAATCATATCTATAATGGAAAATCAAGGCATATAAAGCGACGTCACAATACAATAAAAGACTTGCTGAAAAATGGAATAATTTCTATTGATTACATAAAGTCGAAGGAAAATATAGCAGATCTTTTGACAAAGGGCCTAAACAGAGAGCAAGTTATCTTTACATCGAGGGGAATGGGCTTAAAGCCAATACAATGAGTCGATACTTGGCAGAAACCTAACCTAGCAACATTGGAGATCCCATGGTCTAGGTTCAATAGGCAAACTAGTTAAGGAAGACTCAAGAAGAATCAAACACAAGGTATGCTTATTCCTATGATGTCCTCAATTGTGTTTTCCGTTGATGTTTAAGGGTTGAATTCATATTCTTAATAATGGTAATAGTTGATTTCAGTGGAGCACTACGGAATGTTCTTGATTGGCATTACCTATGTGAGATCGATGTGTGGTCGCATCTATGAGAACCGAGATGGCCACTTTCTCTACAAATCTCATGAAGATAGGATATCGTTCACGACCGAAATGAACAAAACTGTAAGAATCGATGTGTGTATAAGTATGATGTATGTGATACATTTTGTCTCGGTTTACTATCAAATGTGGTTAGTTCAAGACTTCGTTCACTACCCATAAAGTAGATCCGAATTCTATTCACTTCGGAAGGTTCAAGTCCAAAAGACACCTTTCCTGATGTACTTCATATTTAGTTCTTGGAATAGCAAATAAATTCCTATGTTATCTTATTTTCTATTCAAATGTGGGGTATTGTAGGAGTTTGAATAGAAAATGTGGGGTATTGTTGGATTTTTCCCGTAGGAATTGATCCCACATAGGAAAGAAAAGGAAAAAATGAATGGTTTATAAGGGTAAGATCATAAGCCTTATCAAAATCAACTAAAGCCTTTGGATTGGGCTTTAGCTTGGGGTCTCGTGACCATCACGGCTGTGGCCGAACCGGACCAACCGACGCACTGTTTCCGAACAGTCGCTTCTATTCACGTGGGTGGTTTCTTAACCGCCCGTGGGTGGTTATTTAACCGCCAAAATAACTACCAGGAGGTGGTTTTTTAACCGCCAAATAACTACCGAGGCTATATACACATGCTATATCCCTTCATTCGAGAAAAATATTCATATTCCATACGTTTTTCCCTTTTCAATTGCATCTTCCTTCTCAAGAACACACTTCGATTCGATAGGGTTGAATTGACGTGCATCAAATCAACCGGGTAGTTGTATCCTCTAGACGACGTCCGTACCGAGCACG